ACTTCAGGACATAGGTGCACTTACATGCATGTAGGCAATATACTCATATGCATAAAATTAAAAGTAATAAAAATAAAATATAAAAAATGCAATTTAGGGAGGAAAGGGGTTTTTTGTGGGTTTTTTGTTTTTGTTTTTGTTTTTGTTTTTTTTACTTTTTCTTCCAGGTCACAATCCATCGTTGATAGTGATCAGGGCAGAAACTTAAGGCAGGAAACAAGGTAAGTACCATGGAGGAATCCTGCTTGCTTAGCTGGCTTTGTTATAAGGTCCAGAACCACCTGCCTAGGGTTGGTGCCATCCATAGTAAGCACCATCCCTACAATTAATAATCAAAACAATCCCCACAAACAAGCCCACAGACCAATCTAATCTAGGCAGTTTCTCCAAGAAAGCTTTCCTCTTGGATGACTCCAGGCTGTGTCAATTCAAAACCAAGCTACCTAGAGTAACCCCTTATGATGCAGTTTTTCATTTAAATAAATCACTCATTTTAATTGACTGAATGCTTTCAATTTTTTAAAGATTTTCATTTTTTATTTTATGTGTATAAGTGTTTTGCCTGCATGTATCTATGTACATCATGTGCATAGCTGGTGCTCATGGAGACCAGAAGAGGGCGCTGAATCCTGAGAAGTGAGTTAGAAATTATTGTGAGCCACCGCTTGGGTGCTGGGAACCCAAACTGGGTCCCCTGTGACAGTAGCCTGTGCTCTTGATCACTGCACCATCCCTCCAGGCCCCAAATTCAATTTCCTACTTATGGTCTACTCCATTACAGAAACATAAGATTCCAAATGCACTAAAGCACCCCTAGTCTTTAAGGCCTACAATGAAACGTTGCTTATTTAATTTTACTTTTTCTGTTTTGGCTTTTATTTTTGCTTTTACATCAGTGTACCTTAAAGTGTGATATTTTATAATGAATCAGTTTTCAGAAATACAAAGTTAAGTATAAATAAATAATCACCAATTATTACTTTTCACTTTTAATTACATACATCATCATCTTAGAAAACATAGGAAACTTTTCTTTCTACACAAAATGAATAAATGTTGCCTACCTAGAATCTCTTTATCAAACACCACATTTCAGAATCTAGTCTTGTTCATTTTTTATCTTTTGGTTCATATATATGCAGAGTATCATTTTTCTACCAGATTGAATCATCGTACATATGTTTTTCTAAAGTCCCAGGTATAAAAAGTTATTTACAGGGTCCTAGGAGCTAACTCCATGGGGAAAGGCATTCCCTTCCGGCCTCTTCCAGTTCAGGGTTCTTTCCCATGACTGTTATGAAAAAGGATGAACCTCTAGTCTGAACCCTTTCAGATTAGCAAAATCGTCCAGGTTCATCCAGTGGCTGCATATCCAGCCCTTTTACAAGATCTTTCTGTTCCAATCTTTGGAAAAGGGTTTCATAATTTGTACCTTTAAAGTGTGCTGTTGGACTCAGAATGTAGCTCAGGGGTAGGGACTTGCCCAGAATGCTTTAAGCCTTGGCTTCACTTGCCAGGACCACAAAAATATAAATACAATCCCCTATGTATGATTAGTACCAGCTGAAATTAGTACCTAAATCTCCATTTCCTCCATGAACTAAGTTATACAATGTCATTGTTTGAATTTTCTTCTCTCTCCCCAATTATCTCTCTTAATTGTGCTGTTACTGATGTGTGCATTCCATGTAGAGAACAAGATTGAAGAATGTACCTAAGGAACCTTCTCATGAAGATGGCCACCAAAAAGGTCCCAAAAAAGTCATGGTATTGAAAGCCACAGAACCGTTTACCTATGACATGAGAGGAAAGAAAAGGATGTTCCATGCCACAGTGGCTACTGAGACCGAATTCTTCAGAGTGAAGGTGTTTGACGTGGTCCTGAAGGAAAAGTTCATCCCAAACAACGTGATTGTCATCTCAGATTATTTTGGTGAGAATGGGTTTCTGAAGATATTTTGTGCCACCAGTGTGACTGAGGTGAAAGGTAACAGAGTGATGGAGATCCCAACCACACTGAGGAAAAGAGCCAATGCAACTCCAAAAATTTTCCACCTTTTCTCCCAAAGAATAGGAACATTTGTGAATGGAGTATTTCTGATATATAAGGTAAACATTATATCATTTGGTAACATTTCCTCTGAAACCTCAGATGTTCAGTCTTAACTTTGCAGCTAGAATTTTCTCAATTTACTGAACACAGGAAACGAAGGCCTCCCTGATCAGAGGTAGGTGACTGGAGTTCCCCTCATTATGATGTGGAATAGCCTCAACATTTTTATTTTCACAAAAATTCTAGAAAAATAGTCATAAGGAAACTTTTTTATTTTTCAGATCTGATGGTCTATTTATAGACATTCGTGAACATTTATATCAACATGGGACTTTTAAGAGTTTGTTTCTTTGAGTTCTTCCTCACCTGTGTTAGTGAATGGAATTCCTAAGCCAGTATATGGGCTATGAAATCAGAACAAGGAATCAAATAGACTATTCTACCCTCGGATGCAGCTATGTCCAACAAGCAGGGGGATTCTGATGGCCTTGACTTTAACATGCCCTCACTTCTTCCATTCTTACTTTTCCTCAAGGGATTGTTGTGTAAGGCCTGCTTCAAATAATGAAATAAATTTAACAGATTGAGAAGTACAGCTTACTTTCAATTTATAGGGATAATCAATGCTGTACAGTTTGAGGAAACCTTAGACAGGTGCATCTTTCAGTCCCAGTACACTATGTAAATAGTATGCTTATCTGACCTAACCGCTTATTGAAAGTGTGGCTTCATATTCTGTTGAACATGTGTTCAAGGGTGAGTTTTTACTTTTGTCTGTGCTGTTTCTGTAGCTATAAAATTAATAAGTAGGAAACAAACCAGAACAGCAGAATTATATGATGATGATTTAATATTTCAGAAATCTGCAGTAGAGTGAATAAACATATCAAGAAAATATGATACACTTAATGAGGGTATAGCAGTCTTTCTCAGACTCATAAATGAGCCCCAAATGGCCTTTCTTCTCCATTCTTGAAAGTTATCTAAGAAACCTGCAGCAGTAATCAGTTTTGTTGATTCGATTTTTCGCTTTCTAGACTCTTTAAAAAATCTAAGCTTTATTGACGTGGCAGCAGTAAAAATTAGGAAAATAAGCTTTTTTTGTCTTTTTACAAAACCTAGCAGATAAAGATTTAAAATAAGGAATGTTTCAGAGAGGTTTCCAAAGAGATAATTTGTGATCCTGACTAGCTTAAGTTC